TACTACCGTGTTGATGCACCAAATATTCTGACCTTTACAGCTCATGGTCGAATAGGATTTAACGAACACCAAATCTTTGGCAAAAGGTACAAAGCGTGCTCGAGGAAATAAACAAACCAAACTATAGTTAGGGTTATGATTTTTTTTATTTTTGTGATGAAAATGCAAGCAGTGGTTATAATTTTTCATTATTCATGTCGACCTCATTTCAATTTTTAAATTTTGGTTGCGGAGATGAAAGATAAATAAATACACAGGTCGCAAAATTAATATTAACACAAATTCAAAGAGAATTTTATTAGACGCACGAAACTACGATTCAATAAGACAAGTAGAACTAGAATTGATCAAAAAAAGTTTTGGTCGGAATGAAAAATCATTCAGAGACATCCGAAGCAGCTTATGGGGATGTCCTGTTTTGCTGCGACTGATCACATCTCACATCTTCAATAATCCTTGCAACCTCTTCCATCTTTGGCCTCCACTCTATCTCCTTGCGAGACAAGCGAACGCTAGCTAAAGCATCTCAACCATCTCCTCTTGGACCTCTTCTATGTTCTGAAACTTTAAGAGCTCGACATTAATAACCTCTACAGTCCACTTTCCCCTCACAACAGACCAAACCCATCTTAGAAGATCAATGACCACACGCTGATCCTCAAGACCTGGCTGAGTTAAGGTGTCTTTCCGGTTAGCATTTCGAGAATCACCAAACCAAAGCTATAAACATCTGATATTTGACTTACTCTCTATTAGGCCTGGGCACAAGTTTTGTATTATGGCAATTACTCGTCACTCGGCTCGTACTCGGCTTGAAAATTCAAGTACCTGTCATAAGCAAGTCAAGTAACAAGTCGATTTATTTTATTACTTGCAAGTCCAAGTCAAGTATTAAGTATCATCATACTTTTTGATATTTGCCTCGTTACTTGCTTCGTTTAGATACTTGTCCCGTTACTTGCTCTGTTACTCGTTATTTGTACATGTAACTTGTGGGATTACTAACAATTATGTCTGAATATAATTTTTTTCTATTACTTACCTCGTTAATTGTTGAGCATTGTATACTTATTAATAAAATACTAATGCTTAAATTATTATAATAGATTTATAATTTTGATTTGGCCCATAAAAAACTAAAAATCCAAAATTTCTTGTAACAAAACTCATTAATCTTAAATATTATGTATGAAATAGTTTTTTTTATTCTAAATATTTTAGGTTCAAGTAGAACTATTTAATTTTGGCAAGTAACAAGGCGGGTCAAATAACTTGTAAGTAATCATAGTTTAGACAAGTACTTGTCAAAACAAGTACTCGTTTTGACAAGGCAAGTAACAAGCCAAGAATCTAATTACTTGTACAAGGCAAGTCGGGTCACAAATACCTTCAATTTGACAAATACTTGCCTTGTGCCCAACTGTCTCAAGCACTGCAGGAGCATAGGAGCCAATAGTTCGCTGTGTATGAGTTAGGAGGTTGAAGAGAGTGACTAAAGATGTGTCCTACTCACGATCTTCATCCGCGTTTCCTAGTCAACTTCTCTGTCCCCTGTTCGGAAAATACAAAAAGGAAGAATCTTTTTCGTGACTCAAAAGGCTTACATTACCAACAAGATAGTTTATGACTCACCATGCATGTACTTGTAGACCAATAGCTCCTCGTCTTTCGAATAGTAATGACTGAGTTAGCGGTACAAAATTCAATGCTGGTTAATCTTTCCCACAACCTTGATTTACTGTTCAAACTCTATTTTACTTGCCACAACTTTATTTTAACGTTTCACCACAACTACGGTTGTGTCCTCAAGCACAGCTTGGTAGGCTGTTGATTTCAAAAATTACACAATGAATTTGTTTAAAGAGGGAAAACAAATTCACTTAACTCTCTTGTTATTTTGTAATCAAAGACTCATTATAAAAAATGAACAAGGTTGCTTAGAGATAAAGTTAGGGGTTTTGCTCAAAAAGGATGAAGTAAATTAGGGTTTCTTGTATTAAGTTGTGGATGTCTTGAATAGAGGACAAACCCCTCTATTTATACATTATTAAGACAGTTTAACAATATACTAAACTTCTAACTATTTGAAGCTTGAATCTTCTTAAATGTAAAGCTTCTTTTTCCTCGAATAAGGAAGTCGGCTGGGCGATCTCTCTTCTTCGTTGAGGTCTTCTGGCGACCTCCTTTGATTAGCCCATGAACAGGCTAAACTGGGGTACCCCAGTTTAACTGAATTCTCAGCTTAATTTACAATTCCTCCGGTTTAACCCGGTATTGTCAGAGGTGCTAATTCCTACACCAACATAGGCCATTCCCAAACTCTCTCTATCGAGAACTTCAGCAGAAGCGTTCAAAGCCCTATCGGAAACACCTACTCTTCCCCGATGCACTACACCGTTAAAGCATTCATTAGAAGATCCTCTATTTATTGAAAGTGTCATGTTACATCGGCTTGTAACCCTCCTGTGAAAGTATTACTCCTTGAGATGGTTAGCTTTGAGCCTTTGGTGGAAGGCTGAGTTGCTTGATGTTTGCTTCCACTTCTCTGTATAGATATCAACTAAAGTTAGATTTTAAACTTTTTTTGCGTCCAAACCCATGAAACCACGAAAAATCCTGGTTAGTTTCTCCTTGTTAGATCATGGCAATTTATAAATACACACGCTGATGATTGATGAGAAGAAGAAAGCCTAATGAGATCAAGCCAAACCTGATCAAGTTAGTTTTCCTCTGCAGGTTTTAAAGAATAAGGAGGATCCACAACTTTTTCAGATGGCATTGACACTAAAATCTTCCAGCTGCAACACCATATAACCAAAGCACACTTCTTAATCTTAGAACGGGCAAATAAAATAAAAGCTAAATGTTTTGGGAAAAATAAGACGTTTACCTGTCAAGTCTAGCAATTGGACCCATACTTGCTCGATGGAGTGTTCTTTTAACAAAAGATCCCCATGCAAAAGCGAACGAACCTGAAGAAAAGATAACAAAATATAAATATTCAAGAGTTTTGTCCTTGATGTAAAGCATTTTTGACGGTTTTGAGTCCTGATTTAGTCCGCGTTTTGAGTCGTTTGTCGTCCCGTAATCCGTCTTTTGCGTCTTTTCGGTTGTGTCTTGAGTCATTTGCAGGTTTTAGGTGTTTAAGTGGGACACAAATGTTTTCGGGACTTATCGGGCTCAGTTGGACCAGAAACGATAGCACGAATCGAGAAACCGGGGTTAGCAACACTGGATCTAGGATCGATCGATCCAACACTCATCCGTCGAAGAAAATCGTCTGCCAGCTCGGGATCGATCAATCCACCCTCTCGACGACCAGATCGGTTTTCCTTAACCGGGTTTATCTGTCTTTTTCTTTATAAAAAAACCCATGAACCTAATTTTTCTTGACACGCTTCTTTTTCTTCAACTTTTTGAGAGCTTTTCTTTGTAAGCACATTTGGGATTAGAGATTCATCCTTTTTGACACTTTGGAGAGGATTTCTAAACTTTATTCTCATTTATTCAATTTGAATCATGTTCTCTTTAATATCTCTTTGTTTCATTTCTGTTGCAATTTGTGAGTAATCCTCCAATTGGGTTTTAAGGTTCTAAGTAGGGAGTCAATGAATTAGTAACTAAACTGTTATAGGGAATTCTCAATCTTTAAGTTCTTCAATTTATGTGTTCTTAATGCTAGAGTAGAATTGATCACCCTGTTTTAGAACTTAGGTTTTTCTATGCATTAAAAGTATTCGATAGAATGCATGAACGAAAATAAATTGAGCATTTTATTTCTAGCCATCGAAAGTTGACGTTAGAACGCATTGTGAACTAAATTAACCAATCCATTAATGCGAATTTGGTTAGGAAGCTGCAAACGAAAGTTTAGTAGTCGAGTAGTTAAATTTAGTGGCTAGTATCTCAAGAGAGAGTTAGTCTAAAATCATGTTTATGTTCGAGAACGAGTCCTCATAATTGAATTTCCTGTTTTGTTTATACTGCTAGTCTTTGTCTTTTGAAAAATCCTAACCCCCAATGTCTTTAATCTATAAGTTAAATTGTTTTGTTTAATTGCATTTTTATTTACAATCAAGAAAACCAAACAAAACAACCTTTCCGCTTTAGCTAACAACGAGTCTCGGAAATCCTTAGAGTAACTTTGGTCCTTGTGGATCGACCTCGCATATATTACCTAGCGGTTAAGTGTATCGAGCAATTACTTGAGCAATCAAGTTGGCGCCGTTGCCGGGGACCAATTGCGTGACCTAAGGATTTATGATTAGTTTCTAGTCTAAAGCATTTTTCTTTACTGTTATTGATATTCATTTCCGTGTTTTCTTTGGTGTTTTTAGGTGTATGACCCACAGCAAAGGCTCATCACATCTAGTACACTACCACGAGGATATCGGAAGGTTTGAAAGAGGGAACAAAAAAAAGAAGCAGTTAGCGGTTCAGAGAGAAGCTGAGATGGCTAACCGTGACGCTTCTGGAAATGTAGTGAATGATGACGGATTCCAATTTGAAGGAGAACATCATGGAGTGTTTCAGGATCCACCACCTCCTGAAGCAAATCCTCTTGCTGGTGGTGGAAACGCTGCCCGTCTAGCTGCTGCTCGTTTAGTCGCGTTGAATGCTAGGGATGCGCCTGTTCGACAAACTCTGAGAGATCACGATGCTCCCAATATTGAATTTTCAGACACAGGAACCAACAACTCCCTATCAACAGGAATGATTTTGAGATCAAGACCGGATTGTTGGCTCTTGTGAAGCAGAATCAGTTTTACGGTCTTTCCTCTGAGAATCATGTCTATCACTTGGATAATTTTGAAGATATTTGTGGGACAACGAGAATGAATGGAGTGCCAGATGACCTTATCAAATGCAGACTGTTTATATTCTCTTTGGCAGACAAAGCCCACCGCTAGTTGAAGTCATTGGGTCATGCAAATCTAAGAAATTGGGAAGATTACAAAGCTGCATTTTTGGGGCAGTATTTCACGCAGTCCAGGACAGCTATCCTGAGGAATAAGATCAGTAGTTTCTAACAGGGAGGCACAGAGTCATTCCATGAAGCGTGGGAGAGGTTTAAGCACTACTATAGGGATTAGGGAGTGTCCTTATCATGGGTTTCCACGGGTTACATTGATCAACACTTTCTATAGGGGAGTTGACAAGGCCTACAAGATGGCATTAGACACTGCTAGCAATGGGGACTTCATGACCAAGACTGAAACTGAGGCTATAGAGCTAATTGAGAACCTTGAAGCTAGCAACAACAACCACAATGTTGACTATGATAGGTCTATAGAGGTGGAGGAGGAGAATCAAAACAGATTGCTCAGTTGACTGCCAAGGTTGAGAAAATTCTGAGGAAAGATCAAAAAGCTGTCAATTTTTGTGAGGATTTCAGCAAAGATATGGTGCATCAAGGGTTCAGCGGAGAAGGTTCTGAAGATCTACAGGCAGAGATGAACTTTGTGAATAGGTATGGGAACTATCAGAACAGAGGGTTCAACCAGAACTACAGGAACCATCCCAACCTTTCTTACATGAGTACTAATGTTGAGAATCAGGTGTATCCAACTCAGGCAAGCTCACAAGGTCTGAAATTTCAGCCTAACAGTTTTCAGAATAAAGGGAACTATCGGGGACAATTCCAACCTCCTGCAGGCATCGGTCATACGTCTTCATCTTGGGATAATGAGATGAAATTGATGATGCAGCAGATTCTTGAAGGTCAAAAGAAGAAGGCTGCTGATATCAATGTAAAGGTGGATAGCATGTACAATGATCTCAATGGAAAATTCACAACGCTATCCTCACATGTCAAGACTCTTGAGAATCAGGTCTCTCAGATTGTTTATTCCTCTATGCGACCAGCTGGTGCTCATTCTTGAAAAGTCGAACCCAAGGGAAAAGAGCAGTGTTATGCTATTATGATCCAGGAACAGCTTAGAGAGATAGATGTCGCCAAACAGGTGGAAACTAATGATGATGTTGTTGAGACACTTGTGGAGGACAAGATTGCAGAGGATGATGAACCTTTGTCTATGGAGCCGCCACCTTATGTTCCCAAGCTACCATTTACAGGCTGTGAGAGACGGATTCAAAAGCAGAAAGAGTATGCACGCTTTAACGAGATCATGAAATAATTGTATGTCAGACTGCCTTTCTTACAATTGGTTCTTCATGTTCCAAGCTACAGAAGTTACTTGAAAGATATATTGTCTAACAGGAGGAGCGTTGAGGAAGGGGTTAAATTGATTTCCAAAGGAGAAGAGTACGCTCAACTTATGGAGTCTTACAGACAACAAGAGGAAGCTCAGCTCACTAATGTAGTAGAGGTGTTAGCAGGGAAAGAGATGGTCAACACTTGTAGTGCCATCTCTGCAGCTACTATTCCCAAGAAACTCGGTGAACCAGGAAGTTTTGTTTTACCTTGTCTGATTAGAAAGTCTGTGCTTGAGAGATGTCTTTGTGATTTAGGAGCTGGATTTAATTTGATGCCTCTTTCTGTGTCAAAGCGCCTAGGCATCACCAATTTCAAGCCTTTAAGGATCTCTTTGATTCTAGCGGATCGCTCTATACGATTTGTAGTGGGATTGGTGGAGAATGTGCATGTTAGAGTTGGAAATGTTTTATATTCCCACTGATTTTGTTGTCTTGGAATTTGATAACGAACCACATGATCTTCTCATTCTTGATAGGCCATTCCTAAACACTACTGGAGCTATAATTGATGTGAGAAGAAGCACAATCAACCTATAGATTGGGGACTATGCTTTGGAGTTTGACATGAAAGGGACAAGAAAAAATCCCACCATTGAAAAAACAAATGATGAACTTGGTGTTGAATGTGCAAAGGATTGCATTGAGTTGAGTGATGTCGCGGAAGTCCTCGATGGAGACACAAAAGATCCTCATGTGACCTTGATACCACTGCAGCGTGTAGGAGACACCATCAAGTGTAAGGTGCAGTGTAAGGGAATCTCAAAACCGTTCTTCAAAGCAAGGAGCATTCTCACTTCGGAGTAGAAAGAGAAAGGTAGAAAAGCTGGGAAAAGAGTGATTGGCTAAGGATGTAGTTAACTGATTGGGGATCTTGTTTCAGAGCAATTTCCCGCACTCGTGCCCATTGGTTCATAAGAATCCGGTCAAGCTAACGACCTTAAGCATGCGCTTCGTGGGAGGCAACCCACAAGGTATTTTACATACTTTCTTTTCCTTCTTTTATTTTCTTTGATTTTGGTTTGATTCACTGTTGCGGAGTTCAAACTTATCGACTCAACTGTTGAGTCGATATAGTCTCTGCATTTGACGGTGCTGTGAGAATAGTTTTTGAGTGCAGAAACACAATGACGACGTTGCAAAACCACGGTCTCGAGAGCGTGGGATCGATCGATCCAACAAGTAGATCGATTGATCCCGATAATACACGTCGAGGCTCAAAAACATCCGCCAGGTTGGGATTGATCGATCCCAATGCTGGATCGATCGAAATGGTCGTGCCGTCGAGTTCCAAAATCATCCGCCAGAACGGTATCGACCGATCCCACCACTAGATCGATCGATCCCGATGTGAGCCAAACAAATTCAATTTCTGTAAACCGGAATTGAATCGGACTCCACTTAAATTGAACCGGATCGACAAACGACATATCACAGGATCGAGTTTTCCTTCTCCATTCACGAGCCCCACCCATCACCGTTGAGTACTACAGTACCACCCCTTCTTCCCTTATCATTTATCATTTTTATTTTCTTTTTATTTTGATTTTCTTGGGTTTGTGGCACCTTTTCTTTTAACTGTTTTTACACCGACTCGGTGTGAAGCAAGTCGGAGGGGGGGGGGGGGAGGGGAGGTTGCCACTTGTCCACTAATCTAGTTTGCATTTTTAATGTTTCTTTGAGTCATTTTGATGTTTTTCTCTTGAGGCATCGAGTCTATTTTATCGAGTCAAAATCGTGCCTTTTATTGAGTTAAAATTTTGTTTGAGAACTGTGGTCTTTTCTTAGGGAATTGCACCTAACTCTATTTGAGAGAAATTTCTTGGCCGCGCAAGGTGCGGGTGACTACCGGGGGTTTTGCGGGAACAATTTAATGAAGAATGGAGAACAGCGAGGGATGAACGAATAGTATGCGTGTTACAGTGGTGGGAAATTCATAGAACTTCAGGTAATTCTCTTATTCACAAAAAAATATATGATCTTTGTACTGACATCACAATAACATCGATAATTATATAACGGCAGGACAAAATGTTGTTCGAACCATTGGTAAATGCAGCCGGTTGGATATCAATCCGGATATACCTGAGGTTGGAGAATTCCTAGTGATGTATGTATTATTTTGCATAGTTACTGCATTATATATTTTCACATAATGTAATTTGAAAGTGTTTAATGTGTTTTTTGTTTACATTACGATTTAGATTGGCCGCTGAGGAAGCTAATGAGGCAGTTTCTACCGATTTAGAAGATTGAAAGTGTGCATTATGCTATTGTGTAGTAAATTGATGTGTTGTTTGACTTGATCAATTAGTGATTAAAATAATGTTCGTATCATGCGACCTCTTGGTTTTGGTTTGTAATGTAAAACTAATGATCTAAAATTCTCTATAACTAATGTTCGTATTATCTTATAAGTAGTATTTTGCTTTATATGTTTGGTTTTGTTAACAAATAAAATAAACCTAGATCTAAATATTATATGACATATCCTATGGAGTAGGTGTTATCAAGAACATTTTAAAAAAATAATTTCTTCGAATTTCATAAATTGTGGTATGCTTAATCTTAAAAATTTAATTTTGATTTCGAAAAAAGTGCTTGGCCGCGCAAGGCACGAGTGACTCCCCTAGTATACTATATATATAAATTTAATAGGTCATTAAACGTATGAATTATGTATATCCAACAAATACATGATTATAAATACTGAATATTACCGGTCTTTAATCTCCTCAAGTTCGTCAAACTCCGGGTCAAGATAAAATCTAGAGCATTCAACTGTATTCATGAGACATGATTTCCTGTAAAATATTCAATTCGATGAGAGCAAATAAGATAATAACTGGCTTAGATTCCCGTTTTTTTAGAAAATACGATGAATAAATATAAGTCAATACTTTTATACTCTTCAACATGCCAAAACCTCAAAACACAAAAAAACAGGATCCGAAAGTACGAATGATCATACTCTCATAAAATAGTCGGCCAAATCACCTACCCCGCAACAACTCAATTTCAATTCCCTTTTAATTTTCAAACCAAAACTAAACGTCATTTATAAATAAATTCTGGCATACAAATTGAAAAACAAACTCACCTATGATTCTTTAAGATGAAGTAGACACATTTACATCTACTATCCTTATCGTATTGTCCAGAAACATAAGGGATCCATATAAGTCGGCTGATATAAACGATAAATCCCATCGTATCTAGATTTAAAGTAGAGAATATTAGGCAATAGGGCACTTTTTTGAGTCTCAATTAGGCAATGAAGCACTTGGAAGGGAGTAGGCACTTTTAAAAGTTTTTTTACCGTAAATCCCTCAAACTCAGTTAACCATAGTTACTTTCCTGTGGTTGAGGAATTAAATAATATTTTTAACAATCTTCGTAAAGTAAAACGACCCGACGAATTGTTCATCACTTTGACCTAAGTGTGAAATTATTCCGGCAACTGTGTTGAAATTAACATCCGTATCTTGGTTTCGCAATCCGTGATTCCTCGCCCAGTAAATCAGATTCCTCTTCCTAGTTCGCAATCCGTAATTAATCTCCCGACATTAAAATCCCTCGTTATTACTTTTCACTCCGTTCAAAAAAGATGACAGGTAATCATCTATGTTTTTCTTTGTTCTACTACCAATTATAGTTATCTTCTCGTTTTATCCATTGTTGTTCTAAAATGTCTTTACCAGTTAGGTAATTTTCTCTTTTATCCATTGTTGTTCTAAAAACTCAATTCCAGATTGATAATTTTCTCTTCACAAATTGTCCCTTTGATTGCAGGCGTAGTGGAAGATGATATAAATGACTTCAACACTCATCTCCCTCCAAGGCTTTTCGCAACCAACCGTTACCTTAATGCTCGTCGCAATATCTACTCCAGACCCGACAT